TAGTTCTATACAATAGTAATTTGAGTTTATTACCCATAACATAATGCACAATGGTAACATACCGAATTCGGGTTCGAACGGTACCGTACCAAACTGAACCAAGAACTTGATGAAGGGATCTATGAATCAAAATGTCAAATACCGAATAAGCGAAACTCATAGCGCATACATCGCACTTGTACGTAGCATGATGAAGACTGTGGCAAGAAAAGTGCAGAAAAAAGGCATATTTGGTGTGGTCTGATTCTGTACGGTTTTTGGTGCTGATGCCAAATTCGGCGCTCCAGATTATTTATTGCATTATGCTGGTATATATTGGAAAAGGGTGTTTATTGTTATTGTTATTCAACTAATAATTTTTGGTTCGGTTGTGTGGGGACGAATGCTCACATGTTTTGGGAACATGACACAGAAAATAAAACTGATTGGCAATCATATTTCTTCCATTTCGGATCATCCTATTGCATGTTTCTATCGAAATTGCAGTCATTCCTCCTCATTGACTTGAATATTGAACATACGATTGACGTTCCACTTGATGTCGCCCCCAAAATCAATTTACCGCAGGCTATCTTCCGCTGTTCATGTTTCTTCCTCTTCTTTTTCTTTTGTATTCTTCGTGGAATGCACGAACGGTATCATATTTCCTCAAGAGCCGATATGCTTCGACATCGATGTTGGATATGGTCACAACTGAACAACTTGTGTAATAATCTAAAGATAAACATACCTCACAAGAGGCATGAACCATTCACCGATTGACGAACGCTCATGTGCGTTCGTGCGATAAGTATAGTTTAACTCTGAACTTCATCGATTGAAAGTGTGCCCGGCTCGAAATATGGTTCAAGTGTGTGTTTTGCAACATTGTAACTTAATTTAATGATTTTCATTTGCTTTTGCAAGCAAAAACTCTTCCTGCATTCGTTGCGATTTATTTGATTAATTTTGTCGAGAAATCCGAATTCAACTGCAAATTACACGTAATGTTATTATCAATACGAAACTTTGTACGTACTCCACTATAAAAAAAAATAACGCATGATCGCGTCAGTTGGAATCAAGGAGTTTTACTCTTGAGACTGAGTCGAAGTGTTTGACTAGACAACTTCGACCACCTTCGTTGCAAGCCATTAAATCAACATAGCGCTATAGTTGCTCGATGTGGGTTGAATGCAGCCATTCCATCGTGTACTCTCCGATTCGACAAGGAATTGTTACGAGACAAAATACACGACCGAAAGAGTCCTATCACCATCACTCTTTGTTTACATTAAATAATCTCAAATATCGTTTACAATGTTTATCTTCTTCGTGTTTTTTTTTTCTTAACGTCGATTTCGTTTTCTTCGCACTTCTTTTTGTCTTCTTTTTACCATGGAACCTTTGTGAGACACAAAGTAGGAATAAATAAGAAAATGGTTTATGTGACGAATTGAATTGATCGAGACCTAGTTATAAAATGCAATATTTCAAGGTATTAACTCTCAAGAGGATGCCTCGCAAGACGCAAGCGAAAGAGTTTACTTCGAGGAAAAACTGTGTTTTTGAAATCGTCGGGAATAATAGCATTTCACAAGGTCATTAGTATTATCTCGTTAAAAATGTCATTTCGTGATCCTTTTGAAAATGAAAAGTATAAATCACACGAACATGATCGTCCTGAAACCACAAGTGTGGATCGCATTTGTCATGAAGCGTTGATAAAAGATGGAATAAATCAATGGAGAACATAAAATCGCATTTGTCACATAACGAAACAATGAACACTTCACTTACGAACCTCCTGGCGCGTTGCTTTGTTCCAACTTTCTTATTTTTTTAAAGGAATCTTAACGAAAAACATTGAAGAAGAAAGTTTCTAAATCTGGGTTTCGTTCTGTTCTGCTTTTTGCCTAGCCATTGAAAGCAATGGAAGCGACAAGAAAGGAGCTAGAACATAATTGTTTATACATTCGTTGCCGACTGTTGAAAAAGGGAATGAACGACAAAATCGAAATAAAAGTCAAACGGAGCCGACGTAAGGAAGCGCCTCAAACCAGTTCTTAATTTAGAATTTGCTGTTAAAATACTCGATTCTTTTGCTTTTGTTTTGCACAAAACTTCGGCATTTTCCCTTTGTTACGATAACAGGAAAGTGATTGAAATAAGAAAAAGAAAAGAATTTTAATTTATATTTAAAAGCAGAAGAAGCGGCAGCAGCAGCAATAGCGACGGCAAATGGAATGTGTTTTGAAAATGCAATCGTAGGGAGGGCTTAGTGTCTGTACGGTTGGAATGGAAATTGCGCTGAAAAGCAATATGTTGATTTGTGTGCACGCGATTGCAAGAAGTGCGTACGGCGTGGTTTTCCATTATTATTCGCATCTCGGTTGTTAGTGTGCATGGCTGAGACGACGGTCGTATCTCAGCAAAATAGAGAAAAACACAGCGATTCATGTGGAAAGAGAGAACCTTTTTTTCCATTCGAAAAAATCGAAGGCGCGAATGACGTTCAATGAACCTTCATGTATTTTTACATTTTGGGTTTGAGCCACACATTGTTTATGTACAGTTTTGTGTATTGTTTTGCTCGCATTACTCCTGTGTGATAAAAGTGGTTCCAATGCATTAGGCACACACACACACAGAGACAAAATAGAATGAATCGAACTCAATCAGCATCTCTTTGTTCTCCCCTCGCTGCTGATGCGCCGCTGATATGTGATTCATGAAAATGCGAAAGGAACCATATCCCAAAATGCGCTCTTCAGACACTTGCCACAGATAAATTCAAGCACATTCACCAGAGATAAGAGCCTACCATTGTGTTTTTGCATTGTTTTGAGTGTGCCATTTGTGAATTCATACGCAACATTTCCGACGGCCACCGCATCGTAATTTCTATTTCTTCCGCTTGAGTTTCTGTAAACGAAAGACACGTTTAAAACGGTCGATTGTTTGGGGCGCAGCAATTGAAGAGAAAACTACGTAAAAAAGGTTTACTCGCATGGTTTTGCCTGTAAAGGACCTCATTATAAGAGGATTTCGTGGAGATTTATCTAAATGCCACCTAACAAAGATTTCAAAGTGCTTTTTACATATCGCTTCAACAAACTGACTTTTTAACCATTTCGAGAGGAAAACAAACCATTTCAAAGGATTTATTCACATCAGCAACGAGATTCCGGGTGTTGTGATTTTATCAATTTTGCCTGCCTAAAAATACATTCAATAGCGCCTCAAGCGCATAATAAAACCCATATGCATCACACCACACAAGTGTCATTCGGCTTAAATCGACTCATTCATCGCTCAAAACGCATAAAAATCAATGTACATTTGTTACTTTTTTATGATTTGTGTTTTCAGATGAAAAATTATCCGAAAAAAAACACAGAAGTTTAACACATTAAAAAAATGAGCAGCTGCAACAATTTGAAAAAAGTGCATATCATGTGTGTTAAACCCATAAGTCGGCATCGATTATCTCGAACATTTTCCAAACACCCATCGAATTATTCATTGAATTCATTGCGCTTCGGTTCGGAAATGGAGAGCATAAAACGAAAAAAGTTATTTAATTGCGGATAGGATGGTAAAAGAGAAGGAAAGTGAATTTAGTTTTCAGTTTATTGGCATAAAAAAGGAACCGAAATGCGGTCGAATTTCGGTTGATTTCGGTGCCAAAAAAACACGGTATAGCGACTAATAAATTCAGTTAATTAGCTGTCACTTCTGCCCAAGAAAACACATAATTTTGAATTTTTGAATTTTTGAATTATGGCTCATTTGGTATTTAGAACGATAGAACGAATATTTGAGATGTTTCAATTTAGGTTCGTGCCAGTGATTTGCGCACTGAATCACGGAAATTCTTTCTTAATTCACACATTAAATGCAATATGATCCAATCTTCTGGCAATGCCAATAGCAAATGTTCTTTTTTCGCATATTGTTTCGGGTCCGTTTCACTTTCACTCGGGTGCACCCGGTAAGGCTCAAATTTTCCGAACAGATTAAATGAAAACGTGTCCAACATCCATTAAGCTGTTGTTGCATGACATGCACACGGCTATTTCTAGTCGTAGTTAATTGAACTCTATTGGGAATGTTGTGTGGATGCAGCCATCAAAATCAACAAACGCATCATTAGCCGTGTGGACGTTTTTTTTTTTTTTTGTTCGGGCGAGGGAAGAACTAAACAAACATCTATACAACGACAAATGGATTCATTCCCAGTTAGAATAGACCGTTGCTCGTTTTGCTTGGCGTTTATTTTTGGGAGTTGAATGCACTGTTTGCTCACAGTACATTGCCTAATGCATCAAACTGAATAAATACGTACGTAACCGCGACGACAAATTATTTTCGGAACAAAAACGCACAAGCGACGAGAGAGTGCAGAAGCGAGCACAAAATTGATTCACAGGAAAAACGGTTTATTTCAAGAGATTTCGACACGATTCAAAGCAAGTACAATGGGAATTTCTGCTTATGGCACTCAATTCATAATAAACGCATCCGAGCATATATTGCATTCTGGGATATGTTGTTTTCAAGACATTCAAAATAGCGTTCGGTTGTTTTTATGGTGCTTCGGTTTGTTAACAAAGAAAAATCAAGACGAAAATAAACATTTTTCCGTATGGATTCACGTTCATGGGCCCAATAAAGACCGATATGTGTGTGGCTGTGGCGTTTTTACGATGTCATTTTCAGTGACTTTTATGATGATATGCTGTTGTATATCACATCAACATAACGCCAGCTTACATTTCGTTCAATTAGCTTAATTTGATGAATCGTGAAGAAATTTACAGTCGCTGAAATTTTCCGAGGAAAAAGGAGCTTCACGGAAAATGTATGGTTTTCCGACAAGTTCAATCATAAATTTTACAACACGTGATGTCAAACGTAGTTTTCCTTTTGTTTTTTCAGCGAACGACGTGGATCGAGTTAAAAATAGTCATTTTCATGTTAATTTGATCGAATGTGGAAAAATTATCTCTAAACCTTACCTTGCATAATGCGACGCCTGTATCAAGTCGGTCCATAAAATTGTCCACATTGATTCGCAGTTCTGGATACATGGTGTTCATCCATTCGGCTAAATCTTCACGCATCGCGTATAAATACTCTTCGCTCGATTTGAATGGACGATATGATCGCGCTTCCAAGAGGACGGTTGCCATTTTGACGGTTTCTTTTGGTTCGGCTATTTTTAGAATTGGATTTTATGTGTGACTTTTGCACGTGTACGCTTTTGGAGGCTGTGCCTTCCAAAAAAAAAAAAAATAGCGATCGCTCTGTATTTCAGGTAATTTGTACACGGTTCTCTGGACAGATTCTTACCATATATGGCATTCGTAATGATGACGTTTCGATTTTTGTTGGATGGTTTTTGATTCAGTGTTTTGTGTTTTCGGTTAGCATAACCAAAACTGACAGATTTTTACGTTCACAACAACCATACGATCGACTGGTTTGATTAATTTTCGTTTTTTTTTTCTTTACTAGTTGTTCATAATGTTCGTCGAATCGATGCGTGTCTGGTTTGTTTTTTTTTTGCGTAAGCGCCAGTTCAGGTGCAATACAGGTAAAAATTCTTGTCGTCTTCTTTTCGATTGTTATCTCCTCTTTCTCTGTTTCTTCGGGGATCGTTCGTCCCGATGATTCGGTATTAAATAAAAATATTGTTATTATGAACTGCAACGTTTGCTGTTGGCCGCAAATTTACTGTCGTTTTTCAAGATGAAACACGATGTAATTTTATGGTTTGGTTGCTCGCTTTCGATCGTCTTCTTACTTAATTCGTAGAACTTTACGAGATAAAAACCCATGAAATATTGCTTGCAGTCACTGGCTGTTGCTTGTTGATTGCTGCCCAGATGATGGCTAACGATGACATATTATTCACGTTGCACTTCGCATAACGCTCACTGCACTCAGCAGCTCTTTTAACCGATCTGGAAAATTGCAATAAAAAAAAAACAAATATGAGTACAGTAATATATAGGCACACAACGCACAACATAATTCATTGAGACATTTTGGCCAGTTTGTGTGGTCAAAATACCGCCAATTTTCATTATATTCATATGCGAAATGAAGGAAATCTCTTAAATTAGCGTCATTAATCATTGCATTGTTTGGCGTTCGGTTTGGTTTGTTTTCGTCGGTTATTGCATCGATTATGGCTTTTTTTTATTTACTTTGAGACTTTTTTGGGTAGGGTGCAGAAATTTCGTAAATGGCCTGAAGCAAATTGACCGCGTTTTACCTGAGGAGCAATGGTAATCAATTTTGGCTGTATTTTGTGCAACCACATGAACGAAAATGAAACAATTTGCTTGAATGCAATCAATAAAAATTAATCAATTTTCGGTAAATCTATCTCAGTCTGTTTTTTTTCTTCGGGGTTTCACTTCGTTGGCAATGGCATACCGAAGAACGTTGGCAAAAAGTGAACCTTGTGTAGCAAAATTTCGATTTGTAAATGGTTTCATGCAAATAAAATTAATTTCACGGACCAAACAAACCCCGGTGGGAATAAGTTTCCACCCGTCGAAGAAAGAAAGGAAGAAAAATAAACACAATTAAATATGGTATCGAAAGTAATTCCGACATAATTTTTCAATAAAAAATTTATCCATCGAACGCTTGCACCACTCTCGGCAATCGAATTCGACAATGCAACGAAAGAATGGCATATGATGAATGCGATGACAATCGCAGACATAAATTCCGTTTTGTGCACACACTTTTTTTTTGCTGATTGCGAATCCATTCATTTTCTGGCATTTCACGCCCAATCAATATGTTCGCTCTCTCGCATCGATTGCATAAGCAACTTTGTTTTGTTTTTTCGGTGTTTCTATCGCCAGCGATTAGCTCAGTGTGCTGGTGAAGTGTTAATTCATCTCATGCAATAATCTGCATATATGGAATTTGTTCAAGGCGAAATACCATAAATTGCCGAGCTATGGGCAACATGAGCACGATCCATTTTTGATTCGATTGATTCGAGAGAAGAAAAAAATCATACAAAAGCAGCCTAACGAATACACAAACACACATCATGCCATACTTCAGATCAACCTTCCTTTCATTCTCCGTCATTTACGGCAGCCCGTGAGCCTCTCTTTCTTCAGTTTTCCAGCCGATAAATCAAATATATGTGCGCATAACACATTTAAAGAGAATGTGTTTTCATTGCAAATCGTCATTTCATTTCGACTTTTTGATTCACAGATCAACACCCGAATGTGAAGTGAGTATGCCTCTAAAGTGTCGGCCCCTGCGTTGCACTTTACCATAACGTCGACAGCGTCCTGCAGCTAATTTATGATTGTATGCAATTATGATTATTTATTACATGACAAATGAACAACACACGAAAAATAACAACAACAACAACAACCATGTATGCATCGAACGAGGAACAAAAAATGGACCGAATGAGATGCCATGACAAGAACCACATCATTTACCGTCCAAAAAAAAAATTCGTCTGTTCACTCGCGTTCATTGAATTGAAAATTTTATTTTTTTTCTGTTGCTGCTGTTGTTGTTTACATCAACATGATAGCATTATTTGTGCACGTGTGAATACAAAACTAAAACACTTATATGCACCACAAAATGTATCGACCACTCTCGACATTTTCACAAACAAGCACTGCCGAAATTAAGACGAAACGACAATGCGCAGACGAAAAGTGATTTATTGTCAACAAATTGATTGGGAATTTTTATTCTGTTATTACCCCATTTTGATTTCCATATTTTTGTGCTTTGGCAAAGTGAAATTTCATGTTCATTGTAAAATAAAGCAGCAGCGAAAAATTTAAATTTTTCTTTCTTCTGTTTTTAGTTTTGGTTTTTAATTCTCGTCTGGGCAGTGAGTGAGCGCACTCGGCTGTGGTGTGACAGGCATTGCGAACCGCAGAGTCAAAAGAAGGGAAAGAAAGTGATTACATTTTAGCATAAAACGAAGTATACACATGAATTCAGGTAAAGTGCTTAGCGTACTTGAAATTGCATGTAATTTTGCGATATTTCAATTTTGGAGGAAATGGATCGAAGCCACTGAAATTCAGACGAGATCCGTCTTTTCACTCATACGCCATTGACACACGGCACTGCGTCGTGTAATCCGATCTATATGACAGCGCAGACAACAGAACAAAAAAAAAGTTTCAATTTTTTATGGTTAAACGACATGCACCACATACAAATGAGGAAATTCAGTTCGCGGTAAAAGCGACGCTGAACTTCACTTGAGTGTATGTTTCTTTTGATTTGAAGGGGGCTCAGAGAGCTCTCGTTATTACGCAATAAGACTAACAAAGCTCTTTACTTTGCTAAGCTACATGACGATTTAAGCATGTACAATTCAAATCCGCACCGAGACGTAATGCACAAGATCTTTTTTTTTTCGCTGGTTGTTTTTAAATATTTCGGCATATAAATCGACAAAATATGGAAATGAAATTGGAGCGAAAATAACACGATTGACAACGAAGAAAAGAGACTGTCGCTTTGGTTGCATGCTCTCCGTTGGGGACAAGGATGTTCGTTCTGCATCGTCTAATTTTTCCTGTTGACAACATTCCAAGACCATTGAATTGAATTTTATTTCCACTTCTTGGCTATAAATACCAGAATATACACTCACATGATGTTTGGAAGAAAAAAAGTAAGTGTTTTTTTGTTTGTTACGAGTTTATAAAAATGTCGCTTTCGACAAAAAAAAGAAGAAGGGAAATTCAAGTATTTATTAACATTCTTTCCAAAGCAATTTTTTTTCTTTTTATTCGAAGCTCTCGATTCCAAAGCGGTCGGAATTTCTTGGCATGCTCCGCCAAATAAAGTATGTTAGCTAAGGTATTAAGGATAAAATATTCGACAACTGGCACCAATTTTTTCTTCTTCTTCTTCTTCTTCCATGCACCGAAATGGGAAAGCGCAGTGCACATTGAATTTCTTCAATAATAAAGTCTTGGCGTGAACCAATGCTGTGTGGATCGAACGGTTGCCGCTCAGCATTTCCACAAAATCAATAGATTTCGGCTTAAAATTGTTCTTTAAGCTCATGTACAATCGGCTGCACCAATGCCCCGGTATCGATAAATCTTTGGTGTCTTTAGACATCGACCGTTTTCAACACTAGTTTTTCCCCGTGCATACGAAGAATTCATTTGAGAGGAAATAACGAATTACGGACGCACACACCACGGCAAATGCCCATTTAACATCGTTCCGTAGTGCTCAATGAGCAATGTGGGTGGCTGACGATAACAATAATAATAATGGAACGGAATGAGCATTTATTAGTGTACAAATAAATTCTATCGCATTTCATAGAACAAAATGCTAGTGCTATTTGCAGTCGAACGCAATCATTTCCAGCAGAACAGTTTCTCACTCGCCCAAATCCAATCGAATCGAATCGAATTGGCCAAAGCGTGCATTCATCTTGTGGGTACATGAGTATAGAATCGACAGCCGCATAAAGCAGAGCGAGAAATATTTACGATCCGAACAAAGTGAAACAAAAAGCATTCCATTTATGTAAAACACACGAAACGTTTATAGTTCAAACTCTATAGGCAATATTGTTCACGCCAGTACAGTGAACCAATGTGTTCAGTGAACACTGTGGCATTGCACCATTTCTAGTGGAGCACCATAAATTGGCAACGAAGCGAAATTTGAGTGACTGCGAATTCTATTAACATTTAATTTGAATATGATTTTGCTATTGTTTTCGATGCCATACAATGTAATTCGCATGTGTGGACTTTGCTCTTACGGCTGAAATAATGACAACAGATTACAATATCCCAAATTGCATGGCATTTTCGACCAAGTAACCACGAAAGAGCGAGCGGGAAGAAAAAAGAAGTTGAAACATTTCTCAGCTGTTCGTTCGTACGGGCTGTGATTTAACGAGAACACACCAAATGCAAATGATTCAGCCGCAGCAGCAGCAGCAGCAGCGACGGCAGCCAAAATCGCGTTAATAAACATCAACTGCAGTCATAAAAATTACGTTGATGTGATAAACGTGATCGTTTTCACCGAACGAGCAGCGATACAACCGCGACTTTATATCTTGTTTATCGTGCTCTAAGCGCGCGAGAGATTTAATCATTTTAATATTTATGTTATTGCATCGACACAAAACACACAATGCCTACTCTAGTCGTCTCTCTTTTGTCTATGAGCATAAGCGTTTACCGTAAATTGCAATTTACTGGGCTGGTTTTTCTTGTGTTTTCTTCTCGACTTGTTCTGTTTTGGTTTGGCTTTTTTTCTTCATTTTGTGTGTGCTGGGTTTTGTTTTTGTTTTTGTTTTGTCTACAATGATTGTGTCTGGTAGATGCGAACGCGCACAGTGCAACGAGCCTCTATACTACTTATAAATACATTATAACAAAGACCCACAAAATTGGAACAAACGGTAAAATATTTGCATTTTGAAATTGGGATGGCGCTTATTAAACACACCGCGCACTTTTTTCAACTTCTTTCAATGCGCACTTCAACCGTACATAGCGCAGAGAAAGAGAGACTGAAAGCGAGAAGGTTACAACATGTTAAGGAAATGCAACTTGCCCAAAATAGATTTTTATTGGTGATTTTTTTCGTTTTGTTTTGTTCACAGCGCACCATATTATTCTCGATTGCAAAATTATGATTATTATGAATTAGCCACGGGTACTGTTTTCCATGCTCTCTCGATGCATTATGGTTCATTTTAATGGGTCCATTGAGATAATCAAGCTGCACAATGTCTTTTTTTTCATTTCTAACAAAGAGCGACTGAAATTACAATTTCGTCATTGCACCAAGTGCTGAGTATGTGTGTATGTCAGCCGTGTGCTTTTATATTTTATGACCATATCCGATCCCATTGTTGAAGGGGAGTTTTTATCTGGTTTTGTCTTGTTATGCGATGCGC